CCGCCTTGAGTTCCACAATAGGGGAAAGGTAGGATATAAATATAATAAATAATAAGATTTGTCACTGTTTTACACCTGTAACTCCCCATTTTTAGTTGACCTCAGGGTTCTAGTAAAAAACAAAATGAATCCTGAAAGTGTAAAGTCTGATCACCTGTACTAAGAATATGAGCCTATGAGTTGGATTCATCTTAGAAACTAGATGAATAGATGTCATTCTGGACAGCTCATATTGTTGCAAGAATAAAATGGAGATAAAATTGAACCTTGATAACCAGCTCAAGAGGGAGAAAGATGGAGCATCAATGTAACATTATACTTATAATTCAATTTTAAAATAATAATTCCATTTAACAATAATATTGATTCCATTCAAATTATGTTTGACTCTCCTCCATACAGGCACCTCTCTGATAGAATAGTACTTGCCAGTGGTTTTCAAAACATGTTCCCAGGAACCCAAGGGAAGCTTATCCACAGCAGAGTTTCACAGCAAGATGACCAGTAAGATGGCCAGCAAGCTTTCCTGGTGTCATGGGCCCTGCTCTCTTTCCTTCTGGCTAGCCAATGCAAGGCAATTCCTTAAAGTGCGATTCTTTTATTGAAACCTAGCAGATTACAGAACATTATGATCTCTGAACAGACTTCTACCAAGGTCAAGGGAGAAGCATCTGCCCATGAAAAGAACTGAATCTAAGCTGGAATTTTTTCCCTGCATCCCTCTCTTTCAGTGAAGCTTCTGATTCCACCTGCAGGGTGGCTCTTGCTGCTTGAAGGCAAGAAGGCAGCAGCACCAGAGACCCTCCAACTCATTTCTCCCATCACCTCCTGAGTGGATCTTGCATCTGTTCCCGCTCCCATCCCAAAAACTCTTCTGCCCTTTCCAAAACACACGCTCTGCCTAAGAAATTTCACAAGGCAAGCTTGCAACTTCAAAGCCCTCACCCCCTTTGTTCCTCCACCTCCTCCTCAAAATCAGATGAATCTACCTGAACAGTGTGCCATGAGCAAGAGATGCCTCCCCCACCCCACACACCTGGAAGACCACATGCCCATGACTGCTATCAGTCCTGTCCAACCCCAGCACATTCTCAAGGAAGTTCTGGAGCTCTGTTCGTGCTGTGCGAGGCTACACTGAGATCCAACCAGGCCTGGCTAATGTTCTGTAAGAGGTGAACTTGTGCTCTACAATATGCCCCAGGCAGAGCCAGCATGATGGGTTAGCCAGGTCAGGCACTTGCCCAGGGCCCTCAGCCCAGCAAGGGGCCAAGGACGAGCTGCCGGACCTGCTCCTCCTCCCCACCCCTGCAAAGGGCCAGATCACCTGTCCCTTGCACCTTGTGACAGGTGATATGGAAGAGGAGCAGTAGGTGCCACTTCCGGCTTGCTTGCTGGCTCTCAGCCCAGCACTCAAGCAGGCGGCAGCCACAATGAGGGGCAGGAGCAGCCGACAAGGGTGGCGAGAAGGGAGACTCGCTGGACAACCCACTGAGGAGGCTTTATTTAGTTAGTTATTTTTGGATTTATATCCTGCCTTTTTCCTACAAAGGGCTCAAGGCAGCTTACATCTTCTCTCCTCCTCCATCTTATCCCCAGAACAACAACCCTGTGAGGCAGGTTGGGCTGAGAGTCTATGACTGGCCCAAAGTCATCCAGTTGGCTCCATGGCCAAGCGGGCCAAGCGGGGACTAGAACCCAGGTCGTCTGCGTCCCAGTCCCATGCTCTTAACCACTAGGCCACCCTGGCTCTCTTTTGGAGGGCCTTTCCCGAGGCCCTCCAAAACCTGGAGCCAGCTCTGGCCTCAGAGTCTTGTCTAAAACACAGGAGTGTTCCAGCCGGTATGCACAGTTCTTTGCCAATAAGTCAACATGGACAGCCTTTCCTGAAGACAGAGTCTGAAGGTCATTATCCAGATTGCATGGTGCTGAATACGACGATTAGGATGGAGCAAAGTGTACACAACACTGCACTCCTCCTACCCTTTGGTTGGCTCCAGGCTGCCTGGCTTTTAAATGGTGTTCTCGCAAGCCAGGGTTGCAGGCCACCTTTCTGTTTCTCCTTAAAGCAATTGCACATGGCTAGCTGGGGGAAATTACTAGGGATGTTATAAGCCTTCCCTAGCTTCCCAAGGAAGCCCAGCCTACCCAAATCAAGCCACATCCAGGTCCAGGGTTCAAGAGCCTACTTTCTGGACTTTCCACTTCTTGCAGCTGTCATTCTTCCATGGTTACTTGTTCATAAAATGACGCCTACATAAACTGAACCATAAGGAAACCAACAAACATTTTCAAAAGAATAACTTTAATTGGACTGATGTATCTTTAATTCAGTCATGCTGGAGGATCTTCTTAATAATAAATAATTACAGAAGAATGACAGGGAATTTGTATAAACTCAGCCTTAGAAGGGACGGATGGAGCTGACAATTTTGGTTCCTCTCAGTTTCCCATTTTTCCAATCTTAAATTCAGTTGGTCCTGAAATCTGAGATGTCAGAATATTGTTCACATCAATATTCGTAATTATTTTATGCACATTTCTCCTAATATACAAGCTTGTCTCAAATGTTGCTTAATATGTACCTTTTTGCAAACAATGTTCTCAGCATAATGCTTTCTAATATTATTTTAATGAATATACAGTTTTATGAGCATTCTCACCTAATATACAGAGTTTCAAACACAGTTTTTAAAAAACAGTAGAACTTCCTTCCTAGATTCACATAAGCATGAATTTCAAAGGACAACTGAATTTTGGTTCGGATTCAGAGCTCAGTATTTTCTGCAGCTATTCTTGTTGGAATTTTGTACAATGTTACGTTTAAACAGTCATTTGGTCTCCATTGGTGATCAGGAATTCCAGGCAGGTGAGTAGAAGCACTGAGAAAAGAAGGGCAGAATCATCTCCCCTTCCTTCATCACTCATTTGGCTTCTGCATGGGCTGCAGAGGAAGGCCTTCATCCAAGCTCCTACTATTGTGCAGTGAAGGTAAATACTGCTGGTAGTGCGGAAGCTGCTTTTCAGGGAAGTTTCTACCCAAAAACTGCTTTTTTCAACAAGGAATTCCTAAGAGTTTCCAAGTTCCCCTAGTATGCATTTTGAAAACCACTGCACTCATATGTTAGGAAAAATAAGAACTTGGGCAGAAGAAATAAATTAGACCCCTATATTGTGTTGATGGTCCGTCAGAGGGACAAATTAACCACTGCATGTAAAATTACATGACTGTTTGTCAAAATACCCTTGATAAGCAAGGGATACTATGGCAGTCAACAGACACTCGGCTTTTGGAAGGGGTAGATGTCTACAGGCTAACAAATGTAAAGGCAACCGGGGCAGCGCTAGAAGAATCTTGTTTTCCAGAGCACACAGAAGCTTTGTTCAGTTCAAATCCACATGATTGACTTGCGCTTTCCTGATTATTACAAATTTGGACAGGGTTGCCAAGAAGAGAGCAACCCATTTCATGAGCAGCTGCCAGATCCCTTCCTCCTTCTCCAGGCAAAGGATTGAAAGCCATGTGGTGCCAAGACAACCACAAGGGATTGGACAGAACTATCAGGAGAAGCATCCAATGGCAGCCATCATAATGTGGGGCACAGCTAATGCAAGGTTGGCTTGACACCATGTTCCATCTAGCCTAGTTTTCTGGCCAGCTTTACTGGATGCTTTAGGAGGAGGACAAAGCCAAAACAATCTTCACTGATAGACAAACTAGGATGGCTGTTCTCCTAGAGAGAGCTTCTTCATACCCTTGTGGTTGTACTTGGGGCAAAAGTTTTACATTCCTCTCCAAATAAAAACAGTTTTGTTTCCAGATGCTCCTTGACTCTCATGGAACTTCCACCTACTCAGAACTCATCCAGATGTTACATTTCCAAAGCTTATCCATGTTTCAGTTAATTTCTACAAATAGGAATCACATATTTCAATAGCTCCTTTTATGATTTGAAAAACTGCTTCTTGCATTTTATCTAAACAGAAGTAGCCTCTGACTTTCCACAGACTCCCCACTTCAGACATTATATTGTACCTACAAACTGACTACCCATGACAAGGGAGAGCAACCTCTGGACAAATTGCATTGCCCGATCCAGCCTGTGAAGGGTTGGGGACCTCTGCAGGCATCTCTTCTACCCTCCCCATGTTCCTCCCCTAGCCCGGGAGAGAGATTCTTTTGTTACTGCAAAGCATTTTGGGAAAAGTAACAGAGATAACCCCCCCACCACCACCACCACAGTGGGCCAGGGCAAGTGCCAGCTGAGTCTCCCCACCCCAATCCTGACCTAATTAGGATCTGAACAGGATGGGATGGAGCACTTGACTTGGCTGACACTTGTAAGACTGGGTCCTGCAACCATCAGCCAAGTCCTTTCCCATCCTGATCAGGGTGAGAGCAAGATAGAAAGGAGGTGGTTGTCTCAGCCAGCACTTCCAAGGCCCAGC